ACCAGTATAGTGGGAATGAAGCACAGGATGCAACTCAAAAACCAAAATATATCTATTAAAAACACAATGATTTTAAACAAAGAACCAAACATAAACAAACAAAAAATCAAGGAATCCATCTTAATTGAACAAAACAACCCTACTATAAACCAACTCCGTGGGGTGCCAAGATATATCTTCTAAGTTGTGCAACAGTATCTGGTCATGTGACCTCTTTGTTCCATATTGTATATATCTGTGTCAGTGTAAACTACTTGTACCTGATGATGACAAAACCTTGTCGAAACATTGTACATTTGCTGTTATGTTAAACTTATATTAAAGTTTTCTTCATTACTCATTCAAGCCATCTCCAAGCATTATTGAACTAGCTATATGTTAGTATAAAAATACTTTGTATAATAAACTAGTGAGCTTATGAGTTTGTTACATAATCATTACATTGATAAAATACAGTACCAGTTTTCTTATCATTCTCTAAGTGAATCATATAAACCTCAAGTTTTCACTTAATCCAACTTTAGAGCTAAATGCTTTTGTTGGTAATGAATGAGTTACTATACAGTTACTATATGCATAAATAGTGTAAAACTTTTGTGTGCAGCACACTGTATATCTTATAAATACACAACAAAATCATTTACTTAGTATTTTGCATTGACAGAACATGCTATTTGATGCTTTTGCATTGTCATCAGTTGAAAAATTGCTCTGTCTTATTACAAAATACGCACCCAACTGATTTATAATGTACTAACTTTCTTATCACATATTATTAGTTGGTTTTGTGAAAAAAGGAAGACAAATCACAATAAATCTTCCACCCATTTTTAAAGAAACTGAATTACTTTTGGGTGAACAAGTAGTGATACCAGTTCAGAATTTTTATAAAAACCTCAGGAAACATAAGGGGAGCTACTTAGAGTAGACAAAATGCACATCAGCATTAAGGTTATTAAAAATTCAGAGTCATATATACATATCAAGGAACTACCTCATAATAAAAAGATTTATAAATTCAATCACAGTAAATGGAATTTACTACTAATATTTCGTTAGAGAGAGAGATATATCCCTCGTGTGATGAGTAGTGTTCAATAAACAGCATATGGACGAACCTTGAGACTCAACAGTTTCTGGATCAACTGTTTCCCACTTGGAAGGAACAAACTTGGATTTCATGTCAGGTGATTCTTCTTCTAAGGGAGGCTCTTCCTCTATTGGTGCTCCATCCAGATCATCATTCACTAAAGAAAAAAATATCATTGGTTAATATGTTGTAAACATGTATTATTGTCAGATTCTGTGAGCTTAGACCAACTTTCTCTTCTCATGAGTTCAATAATAACTACTGTATGACACTGAGAAACATTGGATAATTATATTACAAACATTTAAATTTTTACTGAACGAACGTTATGATATTAAATGCAATAAAATATTATGCGAGTGCACTATAAATTTAATGTGTACAATGTGTATGATTTCTAGTTTAATTCTATCATCTCATGAGACAACGTTATCTGACAGTTCGGATGTACTAACTGCAGGAAAGATCTAGAATCTTAGTATATTTTACAATACTTTAACTAACGACCAGTAGAGTAGCAACTTACTGATTGCTTAAAACATTACTACATTATTTTGTGAGATACCTACAGCTAACAGCTTGAAAATACAAACAAAATTATTATTTTGAAACATGGAGGAAATTTGAATAAGTAACCATAACCATAAAAGCTAAGTACAGTATTACAAGTTTCTATCTGAAAATACATTTTGTTCACACTTTCCTTTAACCTTTGGACGAAGCTCTACATTTTTAAAATACAGTTATGATCCATTTAAACACAACTTTCCTTCAAACCAAGACAATACCTTTCTGCCTGTCTAGTTGATAGCTCAAAAAATGTTGATACCAACAAAATGCTTTTGTGCACAATAGAATGTGCTATTTTATTGCATTATATTCTAGTACATTACTGATATGTACAAAAAATCCCATTCAGCCTACAATATCCCCATCACAATTTTCTAATTCGTTTCTTATTTTGTTTAAATATTCAATAAACCTAATTATTTTCCCTATTGTCCATGTCTCACAGACATGTAGTTGATCATAACAATCCCAACAAATTACTGGTTTCTTTAATGTTAAATTCTCCTTATTCCACTCTATATATCAAGGGATAAAGGTTTCTACAATACTAACATAAACCAGAAGTGCAAAACTTAACAAGAAAAAAAATCTATACATGGCTTCTTAAATATTAGCAAAATAAACTTTATGTAACTTCATAAAAGTGAGTTAAATTTCATCATTAGAACAAGCTTATGAAAATTTGGGAACCCCCAGAATAGCTGCAAGAGTATATAAATAAAACTTGTGTAAGTACAAAAAAGATATTGAATGCTACATCAATTAGAACTTTTTATTTCTTTAATTAAAATAAACTTATGAGAAATGTCTGATATCCATAAAATCAAGAATGGGAAGTATTAATCAGATGTTACTCATAACAATAGCATATTTTGCAAAATATAAAGAGGATAATTTAGTACATTAGCAAAATCATTTACTCAAAATACAAATATTTTACCACTTCTCTGTGCATTTGTTTTTATAGGTTGCCATATTTTAATTGCAATTCCTAATATATTTAATTTATCATTTATGCTCATCTTTTAAAGTTTGTGTATTCTGTAAAAAGTTACAATTTTGTGGAAGTTCTTGGGTTTGTACATATTTTTTTGTATACAATGCACAAATCCTGTAATCTAATATCCTTACAATAGTTTGTTGGTGATGAAGGATTTCCCAAGCAATCAAAGTCATGTTACGGACAACTATCGAGCTGTTTGGGCAGGTTGGCTTCACAATTCTTAATAAATCACCACTAACACTATATTAGACACAAACAACATTAATTTGCAGTATTCAGTCCATAGAAGTTCTAAATATCAATCAAACATACTTACATGGTACACCATCTAAGTTTGGGTTTTCTGACGGAACACTCTCCAAGTCTTCCTCTAGCCCTAAAGGAACACCATCAATATCTTCTTCAATTTTTTCTGCAACAAGAGGGTCACCTTCTGCGATAGGCATTTCTTCTTCTTTGTTCTACCCCATTCAAAATATTACTTAATAATTTTCAGAATACTTTTCCAGCTATCAATTTTCACAAATTCTAGTTTTTAAGATTTTACATGGTGATTCAATTTTACACATTTATTTAAAATAAAACCTGCCACACTGTTAAAAATACATATAAAATTATTTTATCCAAACACATTCTAACAATATATACCCTCATATTTTGTAATGTAAATCTAAAAGAAAAAAACTTACCACTGTAACAGGAACTAGGCCAAAGAAAATATTTTGGAGTTTGATGAGGAACTCATTTGGATAAATAGCCCAGTCCTCCCAAGCTCTGAAGCAGTTCATGATTCTTTGCTATAAAATATAATACATTTATATAATCATCTCTCAACATAGAATCACATAGTATAATATTTTTAAATATTGTATTGTCAAATTTTTCTCTGACAAATTACTACCAATATTCTTAAAGTAAGAATAAAGTAAACCAACTACTTTAAAGTGTAAATGACAGTTTTACAGACAGACTTTCTCTGCATGATTTCTAACTTTACCTTGAACTGTTCAGCCTTCAGTCTTCCTTCAATGCTCATGAAACATTCGTGAATATCCTTAAACATTTCTGGAAGTCGTGCTTGAAATCTGATAAAAAAAATATACACTGAAAATTACTTAAGACTTAAAAAGTTATGCTTTGGATACAATGTACATAAAAGTCTTTTTAAAGCTTTCCTTTTAATCAAACTTCTTTCAAAAACAAAGTAACAGGAATATATATATATATATATTTTTTACTTTTGATACTAACATAAAACAAAAATTAGAATACACAGTTAACTTGGTAATTGTTTGTTTGTTTGTTTTTGAATTTCGCGCAAAGCTACACAAGGGCTACCGGCACAAGCTGTCCTAATTTAGCAGTGAAAGACTAGAGGTAAGGCAGCTAGTCATCACCACCTCCGCCAACTCTTGGGCTGCTCTTTTACCAACTAATAGTGGGATTGACCATCACATTATAACGTCCCCATGGCTGAAAGGGCGAGCATGTTTAGTGTGACGGAGATTCGAACCCGCGCCCCTCGGATTGCGAGTCGAGCGCCCTAACCACCTGGCCATGCTGGGCCTAACTTGGTAATCTACTCTTTAATATTTTAAAACAAAACTTGTCACTTAATTATCTCTAAAACATCATCAAAACACTTACCCTTTTCTGTAAAAAGAGGCATTGGCTACTTTCACACTGCAATTGTGTAAGATATCAGAGATCAAGTATATTCTGGCAATCTGGAGTAGAAAAACTTAAACTTAGAATTTTTATACAATTTTCTGTTCACTTCAGTTTCTAGCTATTATTGGTAATAGGTTAGAGTATAAAAAGGTTGATAGTCTATTTTGTTTTAAAACAAAATTGATGGAAAGTGATGATCTAAAAACAACACAGTATTTCCAAACCATCAAATATTGTTTACTAAAAGTTCTGGCATTAAACTGCATAGATGTAATATTTAAAATGAATATAAAGTACAATAAAAAAACTGAAAATGTAAAACCTAAACTGATATTCTGCACTTCTTAATAAGCTTTTATATGATGCTTTAATAGAAAAATATTATGAACATGAGAAAATTAAAGTTTGAATGGTTGGAATGTCTGAAATATTTCTGAAAGCTCCATAATTATTTTTAAAAAAGAAAAAAAAAATGTATATTTTACTTCTGTTTGCTATTTCAAATGTTCTAAGGTATAGGAAAATACCCGAAACAAGGATAAAGAAAAATTCAGTGATGGTTAAAACCAGATGTTTCACACTACTTACCCTATTACCATTAATTATAGATAGGCCTACACTTTGAATCCAAAATGGACAAAGAAGAATAAGGAAAACAAAAAACATCTGCAGTTCACATGTTTTTTTTATCACAAATTCTAGGTCTATTGGTTTCTAATGTTTTGCCAGCTTTTTGTGTTTAAGCCATAACTTACCAATAATTATGATTACATTATGCTTCCAAGACTATTTGCTGATTGTAATAAGAGTTCAATCTGAGCAGCAAAGAAAATAATATCTAACCAGATAGTTCTGTTGGAAATCACCCAGCAACGGTTGGTATAAACTGGTGTCAAGTCACACTCATTCTTAAGTGAAAAAGTTAGTGAAAACAACACAATTTCTTTGTGTGGTAATACTGCAATAAACATTTCTTGTTTTTGGAAATATACTTTTCTATCATAAGGATTACAATGAAACCAACAGGACAAGACAGTGTTACATTTTGTTAAGAAAACAGAAAATAGCTTTATTTAGAATCACTTCCATGAGTAAAAGTTTTCTTGAAAAATATGACTAGTCACATATAAAATTATAATCCAATCATATAGTTATCATATATACTTATAAATCTACACAATAACTCACCATGCTGGTTTTGGGAAAAATTAATACTATTATTTAATTACTGTATCTCATTTCTTAAAGGTTGCAAAGTTTCTACCTAAACATAGCTAATTTCACAAAGCTTTAAGATTTATTAGAACATTTATTTTTTGGAGTTTAATCTGTATAACATATATTCAGAAATACACAGGATAGAATATTCAACCAGGCAACAAATTCAGTTTGCAACTTGCTAGAAGTTCTCGTACATTTCCTTATTATGAGATTTTGTTATTAATTCCTCATTCACATGTTCAAGTAATAAATTACAAACTTACTGCAGTATATGAATAACCACTAACTAACTCAGAGAAAAATCTGTTTGCATAGTTTGCACAGGCTAATGTGGAAATAAATTCCATGCCTCAACTGTCATTTCTAAGGACCTAATTTACTATAATAACATGCAGTAACAGTTGTACAAAACATTCTAACAGTCACATCAGAACAATCTAAAAAACAAAATAAAAATTACCTTCTGTTACTGGACAAAGCACTAACAAATTCTTAATTATTTACAGTCCTTTAAATATAATTCAATTTTACCCAACTTCAGTTTAACAGCAAATGATAAAGCACTGCATCTTTCTCTCAAACTTCTCTAGCTTGTAACCAATCAAAACATATAATATTTATTGAACATTTTATTTCAACTTGTCAAATGAACAAGACAATGGCTACTGAACAAACAAAGCATGTTTTCAAAGAACTGGAAAACTTTTAATGTAATACTTTTCTTATACAATAACATATACCCAGGTTTGAACAATATTTAAAACAGCAACTGTTCTCAACAATTTTATATCTGTCAAGAATGCAGTCATATTTATCAGTCACCACAGGATATGACAGTTACAAGTAAAATCAGGAACTACTTTTTTAGGAATTTTATTAATTTTAGTCCTGAAAGAAACAACTAATAAGAGACAAAATAATAATAATATAACATCACAATAGTGTATTTACATTCCTGATTGTCCTCAAAATATCCAAGCCTAGATCAATCCCTATAAATAATGTGTGACCTAATCAGATAGAAGCTGATAGGTTGTCTTTAATGACTAATATTTGACTATTTCATGCATAGTGGTTAGGTTTATGACCTTCATTCTATTATATTGTTACTATTTGGATTTGCATTTAAATTTTCTGTTTTTATTAACATATTTGAAGTATAACTTTTGAAGGTCTGGTTTGTTTGGAATTTTGCACAAAGCTACACGAAGGTTATCTGTGCCAGCCATCCCTAATTTAGCAGTGATAGACTAGATGAAAGGCAGCTAGTCAACACCATCCCATGCCAACTCTTGGGCTATTCTTTTACCAATGAATAGTGGAATTGAACATCACATTATATGGCTTCCATGGCTGAAAGGGCAATCATGTTCCATGGTGGAGATTTAAACCTGTAATCCTTAGATTGTGAGTGGAGCTCCTTAATCACTAGGCCATAACTTTTAAAGAACTTAGGCTAAAATTCATGTTTTTTTTTTTAAGTGTTTATGCTGAAGATGGAATTAGGAAAATTCTGAAACTCATATTTTCTTTATCTTATCAAGAATTTTATGATTCTAGATTTCCACCAAATGAATCTTGAGCTCATTTTTGTGCTAACAATATCATTCCAACAACATTCATGTGACATTTAGTTCTATACAAAGATACATCATTCAAAACCTGTTCCTATTAAGAGTTACTAATTCATTGCATTTTCAATTTTACAAGACACATTTTCTAAAAACAGTTTTTCACTAAACACAATAGTATAACTGATATAAACACAATAGTATGGTTTATCATGAATAAAAATTGGGTATGTGGAAGCAATAGGGTTAGACTTATATTTTCGTCAGCTAGTTATAATTTATTTTACTGTAACCAACTATCTGATCACTAATAAAATAAAGTGTATATTGGAACAAACAGCATATGAAATACTTATTTCAGTAAGGAAAATGTAAATTTATATCTCTATGATGATAAAATAAAAAATGTCCAGAAAATTAGAAAGGGTACACGTTAAGACCACCTAAAGTATTGCTAAGGACAACAAAATTATGAAATTTGGTGTTCACCAGATAACCAAACAATTGTAGGTAACCACTGTCTAGATGACAGACTCACATATTCTTGGTGACCTTCTTGCTGGTTTAGCTTCTTTAACAGAGAAAACCTGGTATAAAGTTGTGCATATTTCATTCTGTTAACATGCAGATCCATAAGATAGTATCGTGGATACTCTTCTCTTAAAATTAGGTTTTATACCTACTCATTTAACATTAGGTACATGGGGTCGGCCCATTGTACTGATCCCATATTGGGGAATTATTATTTATTATAATTCTGAATTTACTATGTGTATCTTCAAAAAATTTGGCAAGCTTTTAATACACATGAAAAGTCTGTTGTATACATAAAAATCTGAATTTTTAATAAAGCATCTTTTCTAAACATTTGTCTGAATTTATGTACTCAGAATCTGACTAGTCTGAGTGAAAGGTGATTTTCATGTTAAGAATAAAAAATACTTTTGTATTCATCTTAAAGTTCTCAAATTTCATTAGCATAACTTTAAAATTTCCTACATGAATATCAATTTTTTTCAGGAAAACTTATAAATAAATTATATTTTATCTGTTATTTTCTGTACCCAAACACAGTACAGACTCTACCCGCTTGACTGACCTTGTAACCACTACAAAAAAATAAAACATAAATTGAAATTACCCTTCTAAAATGACTACAGATTGTAACATACTATTACAATTATTTTATCCTGACATCTTCAGTCTTCTATCATTTTCACAACTGCTTTCATATAATTTTATATCTTATTGCTCTTTGAACCATGTCTAACTACTACACTTTGCTTAGCAAAACTAAAAATCATGCAGCAAGCACTCATCTCAATGTAACACACTTGAAGCTTAAGTGCATGCCTTGCTGAGAAACCTTATTCAATTTATACAATTTTCTATTTATTTTTTCTTATCATAATAAGTTTCTAATTTTCACATCTTAGGTACTCTTACAACAATAAGTAACAAATATACATAAAAAAATAAGAAATTGAATATTTACATTTGGCCAGTTCTTTTCTCTTTACTCTTGGCTCACTAATGAAACTTAAACCTACTTTTTCTTGTAATAATGAGACTAGTACATTAAACAAATTTTAGTTAATCCAAATATGCACCAAAGAACATAAAATAATAACATGCATAAAACATACATTGTCCAATGACTATTTTAATTTAACTGAGGTATAAATGCCTTAAAATAATTCCTCAAACTTCTCAATCTGAATTCAGTAATAGCAATTTTGAATCTGTTAGCGAAATAACTGAAAAGCTGTTGTGTGAGAAAAAGCTAGCATATTCTATTTGGTAAATTACACCTCCATCTTTCTAATGGTTATAAATGATGTAATAGCAAATGTGAGAAAGGATTATTGGTAATCTGTAGAAAAGACAATGTAACAGAAAGGCATAGCAAGTGGGTTCAACTTTCTGGTTTATATCACTGTAAAGAATGAAGAATGGATGAGATTCACTTAAACACTGCATTAGTAATATCTACACAACTAATGTGTAACTTACGTTAAACTCACATCATATAGTCACTATTCCAATAATGTTTCCCCACACTTATACCACAACATTTAAAATTGCAATTCTTGCCCTTGCATTAGGTATTTTTTTAATGAACTACTTACATGAAATAAAAGATTAAATAAAATATAAAATAAACATACTTTTAAGTTATGTGAATTATTTTATTCTTACTTTTATAAAAGACAAATCTAGTATATTAACTTAAAAGATTTAATTTAACTCAATTGTTAAGCATAAATTTAAGAAAAAGTTTAAGAGGATGGCAACTAAAATACACAGGACAGTTGTTCCCATCTGTTCATATACAATAAACGAAGAGAACTTGTAAGCCTAAACAATATATATAAATAACAAGAAGTTGTTTAAAAAACTTAAAAGTTTGGATAAGAATACCATAGTACCTCAAAGACTTCAACACCAAATATTTTGAAATAAGCCACTGATTTTGGTAATTTTCCCCACAAGATACCATTGGAGCAAAACAGCATAATATCATCAAAAACAATGTTTTAAAATGGCCCATTGATTATGATAATGTTTCCCCATAGTGATACAATTGGAGCAGAACACCATAATGCTATCACAGACTGTGAAAACAATATTCTAGAAAGAGTTACTATTCCAATAATGTTTCCCCACACTTGTACCACAATAGAAATGTAGCAATTAAGATTTTGGTAATTATGTAATAATTGAAAAAGAAATGACAACAACAAAAAAACTGTGACAGAAAAATGTACAAAGTACGTAGCAGCTTTTTGTGAAAAATAATTTACTCTACTGCTTCAGGATTACCATGGCTACTATAAATAATACTATTGGAAAATAACATTAAAAAAAAGACACTGAGTAATGTACAATGCCTACAATACTCATTAAGAAGCTGTTTTTCTTCTGAATTTTTGAAAGTAAATTTTTCCTGTAACTGTTGAAAATAATATGAAAAGTTAACATAAAACATCATTATTTCAGTACATGATTTTCGTCAAAGTATTTGTAAATTTGTATACTTGAAATCTCCTAGGTAAGTTATAAACTTTTTAAACTGTAATTTTATTCTAAGTTTGTTTATTGATGTTTACTTAGTCTATTACCCCCTTTTTTTAAATTCTAATTCTCAATAATTCATTTTTTTATATATCACAACTTTTTTAAAAATAATTAACACATAACAATTTACTTTTCATATTCAGTTTAAACTCATAAACATGGTAAAAGAAGGTACTTGAGGATAAGTTGTACAAACTAAACACAATACAACATTAGAAAGTGCTTCTCCTAATAATGGCAAAATAGAATACCACTAAAACTGTGTAGTTGTCCAATAATCATAGTGACATTTTAATAATTTACAGTGCACTTTTTAATATTATGGTGTTTTCAGTTCATTCAAACTCACAATATCCTTTTTTTAGGAACAAACAAGACTATACCTTTTTATGTAGTGGGGTCTGAACTATTGACAATGATTCTGCAATACAGTCAACAATTTCTTCAGCAGATTCTGCATGTTCTATACAGTAAATCATGGCCTGGCTTATCATCTGACGTTCTGGTGTCATGTTTCTAAGCATGTCTTCCAACCTATCTCTTTGACTTTCAGAAAAGAAAAAAAAAGACAGAAGCTCTCCATCATAACTTTACAAAGCATGTTGGATCACAAACAATAATGAAAAAACAAACAGAAAAACTTCTAAATATGAGTGCTTGCAGAAGGCAGATCTAGAAGATCCATTTTTCAAAAATGCTCAGGTTTAGAGTTTTCTCTTTTTCAGATACAGAGATTGTCAGCTATGACAACTGTTCACTTATATATAATGTATTCAAAACCATTTTAATTTCATGTTACATACATCATTAAACTAATAATTTTACCAAAATATTAATCTTGGGAATAAAAAAGCTTTTTTACAAGCATATCTAACGGGTGACACAAAAGTCATACATCATCATGATTTTTTTTAAATCTTATCTTTACAGTTGTTTGCAACATGCATCATCATATCACCATTAGAATCACTTTCACATGTTTGTGCAAGATTAATGGCCTCCCAATATATTATTGTTACTAAAGAGAAAAAAAAGAAAGTCAATAAAACAGAAGCCAGATGCAGAAAAATCAAAGTAAGTATAGGCCTTAGAAATATCATGGTTGTGTGCGACTTTTGCAACATCCTGTATACTGTTTGGCATCTGACGTCTATTCATATAATAATGTATTTTGTTCAGGATATGGCCCATACTTAACAAAGCTTTCACATATGGTGTTTACGGTTCTGCATAGCACCACATGGTTGGATAACACAGAATTGATATAAATGAAATTCTAAATTAAAAGTTTCTCATAGTATTTTCAATGTGGTTGATAACAAAAAAAAACAGTACATCACTTCAGTTGCAGTATGCAGGCATATCGTCGGTTTTCTACTTACTTTAGTTATGTGGAAATTAAAAGAAAAATTCAATTATTTAGTTTCTATGCAGTTTTAGCAAAACTGAGGTTGCCTTGTTATAGTTGCTTTGTTCTCTTTTGTAGATAGTGTATAGTCTGTCTAAAGGAATACTGCAGTGACATATAGCATCATTATTGAAAGGATTAGTGTCTATGATACTCATTGCTGACCAAACTGACAATGTCTGTGTATTACAGCTAACAAATGCCGTGAAAAAACAAGGATCATAGTGTGATGCTGTCAAGTGGAAAATAAAAAGGTTATCTATGAACTGAAGCATGCTTTCTTAGTCCAGTTCTATCCGAGTTCTTTGAAAAAAAAGGGTACAAATTAAGATCAGAATGTTTAGTTTGATAGAAATCTACCTTGAAAGAGAGAAAAAAAAACAGGCTAATTATTTCTTACACACACTAAGGAAACTTGTTCATGTTATCAAACAAAGACTACTCCACTTATTTCCTAATTGAATATGCTGTTATTAGTAGGTCTAACTGTCTCATACTTGTTGGGAACTCAGTTAGCCTGAAAATACCAGACATTTTCCTGACACTGAATCAACCAATACTTTCAGCACAATATGCAGGCATTCTGTGATAACGATTGTCTTTTAAACTTTCATGTAAACATGATTTAAGAAAAAAAATTGTTATTAGACAGCAAACATTTGAAAACTAATGATAAAATTATTATTCTTGGATTATATGGTAAGCTTCTGTAAATTTCCAAGGTTCAGAAAGACTGACAATATGTATATAAAAACCTCAACTAAAACACTTAACTAAATTTTTAAGTATTAGTCTGAACATATTATTATGGTGAAGTTTTAAAGTCTTATTTCTTTCATCAAAGAAATATGTATACGTGAATATTTCTTTCTTTAATATTAAAGTTGAGCTTTTCCAACAGATTGCAAAGTGTGAAGCCTAATGTTATGATGGGATAAAAAGAATGGCTTATCTCTTTAAATAAAACAAAAACAACAGAATTCATGACTTTATGCACGGTAACATTTGTTTATGTATAAAAAAACATATAGACTTGTAGCTTATTTCCAGTTTAGCATGATACTGTAATGGTTAGATTATTCTCAATGATTGTTTTTTTTTACCAATAAAACATATATAAAGGACAAATTATAAAGTATGCAAAATTAGAATTTTCTTTAAGTCATTTGTGTTATTGGCAATATATATTTTAGTCTATTTTTAACACAAACACAAACTCTAGTTGTATAATGTCATGATGCAAAAATCAAAAATAGTTTTAACTTATTTAAAAATTAGGCAACTTATGTATTATAAGAATTGTTTGAAGACTGATAATTTTTATAAGCATGTTGTATAATCATAACATGCTTTTCCAGATCTGTGTAGACTTACAAGCCACCAATTATTCATGCTATATGACCGTGACTTGAACATATGATCCCTGATAATCAGTTTTCTAATTTCATATAACTTGCATATGTGCATGATGTATCTTTATAACATTACTTCTGGTTTTCTAATATACAAATATCAAACACATAAAGCCTATAGGAGATATTTTTTTTAACAGCCTGCCTCATGGAACTTTCTAACAGCTAGCTTAGGACAGAGTGTATAACAAAAGCGAGTAACAAACAATTGGTAAAATTCATATTTCTAGAAAAGCTATTTCTGACACATTACATATTTTTAAATAAACATGTTAACATGAACTAGATCTTATCTTATCTTCCAAAGCCAAACTTTTAGTTCAAGTTGAATACAACCTTTTAGAACAGTTACTTGCACTTTCTGAGATTTCTCATGCAATTATTACCTCTGATGTTAAAATCTAAGTTCTTAGGTTTGTTTTTTGTTTTGTTTTTAAGTCACCACAATTCTAATGCTGAGAAAAATTTTAATAAAAATCTTTAAATATTTAAAATTTTTATCGTCATCTTTGATCAATTGTTTTTTGAATTACAGATAATATTCTACAACTTTTTTAATGTCTGAGTAACACTCAGTTTTTATATCAAACTTATAATAACAACTGTTCCTTCTACTAATTTTATAAGTAGAAACTGCAAACTATCTTACATTAGTTATTTTAAAACATTTTTTGTTGTTTCACTGTTCTAAGTCTGTCTAGTTCTTGACTAAAAGTAAATTGCACGTTTTTTATCAAATTTTAATGAAGGATACATGAAGAACTTTGTAAGAATAACAGTTGCTTGTGTGTAACAAATGCTAAAAATGCATATTACTAAACTTTTAAACTGCAACTGTACTTTTTCAAACAAAAATATTAAAAATTTCTTTTGAACAAAATGAAATAGTTACCTCTCTGACAGTCCATTTTTCTTTGGTTCTTCTTTAACTGGGGATCTATCTACCAGTTCTTCCGGCATCCCTTGTAAATATGGATTTAAAGGTGGAGGTCTCCATATAGAACCTCCTTTGAACATTCGAAACTCTTCTGTGCTCCACTCATTAGGATGCTCACCCTGAAAATAATAATCACAGCACACACAAAAAAAAAATGCATTCTGTGATACATCAAAGGGAAATACCATTTTTAATTAACCTTTTCAAAGTACCAGTTTACAACCAATAAATATATACAGGGGCTGCTACAGTAATTTATTTATGAGAGTGGCTACTTGATGGGATTTGGTCTCCTAGAAAATGTTTTAAACCTTACAAAATTGCTGATTCTGAAAATTATGCAAACAGCAGGGAGTAGGACTGGTTGCATATATTAGACTGCCCTCCCCCTTTATTGTCTGACTACCCTTTGTTACTCCTTGACTTTTTAAAATTAGGAAATTGGTGTACCAGCCCCTAACACAACAATTGTGTTGAGGATAAGACACTGTTTCTCACAGTGATGCCATTCCTTCCTCATTCTGTGAGCTTCATCATATCAGTTAGATAAAATGCAAATCAAGTGTTATAAACCCAACTAGATCCTGCTACTTTACTTGTCTTACTAACATCAGTTGTCTGGAAGTGTTGTTCATGTAAATCATCTCTGAGAGGACTAAAAATAAGAAAGTCACAGTCAGTGCTAAAGGTGAGGCAGGAGAAACCACCATCACTTGCAGCTGTCACTTTGGTATGCATTGGATAATACTTATCATTGGACATGTAACACATGATGACAAAAGTAGTAGAGAGGTAATGACTTATAACAAAAATGTTCATTGTCCATCAACAGTTTATTCATATCCAGTGCAAGGATAAGAAAATTCTGTTTCTTTTTCTTCACTTCTGGCACTATCTCTGTACTTTTTTTTATTTATTATTATGTACACATTGAAAGCACCATAACACTACGGTAATTAATATTATACTTCCAAACTTTCAATAAATGTTTTAAAAACATTTTACAAAGTTTTAATTAGATATTTTATATGCACTAACCATTACTCCTAATTTTACAATTTACACAAATAAGCATCATAACAAACTCTTCTAGTTACTGTATATGGGAAAAATAAACTTTCACTGTTTCTCATTATTCTAAACCAAATAATTGATAAAGCACACGTAATGCTGCAACTATATAGTTTTATTTAACTAAAATATTCTTATTACACAATGTCATTAGACCTAAGAGTTTTTTTTCTTTCTCTATATTTCTCTTAATTTGATCATTATGGATTTCAAATCCAAGGTATACAAGTAAGCATTTTCCTACACTGAAAATGTATTTCCGATAGAAACTTTCCTCCTCTCACAAAATAGCTTTTCTCATCTAGCACTGCCCTCTATTGGCACAAATTTTCAATGCATGTCACTAACCTTCCACCTCCTGCTTCTGCATATCCACATGCAAATGATCATGCAGCAGCTCTCCACCAATAGAAGCGCAACACCACTCCTATCATAACCAGCGCCCTCTTCACATCTGCACTCATTAATCACTTCAAGATTGGTCAGAAGACCTACACCATATATCATCGGAGGTGGGGAGATTGGGTGGGTAAGTATCTATCAGAAATACATTTTCAGTGTAGGAAAATGCTAACTTCCGATATATTATCTTACATCTGCTCACAAAATAGCTAGTATCCCACATTGAACTGGTGGAGGGCCAATAAAAAAAATGATCCCCCTCTAGGAAGTGCCCAAAGAGAGACCAGGAGGTGTCGAACCAAAAGAAAAAACATCACACCTCAGTGGGAAATTGCACCACATGTGATCCAGGTATACTCTTCATTCTTTTATGACAGTGTCACAAACATAAAATGGAGAAATACATGAAAGAATCCCAGAATATGTATAACTGCTGAATGGGACTCCTGGGTGTTGAGTGGCTAGGGCATGACAGACTGTAATGGTAGTTTGACCTCAACCAACACCAGGCAGTATCCGGAATGGTAAATCAAATCTGAAGTAGGTAGAGGATCACCTACCTCTTCACCTCGAAACGGGAATTAGTAGAGAAGATGAGCTTCCATACCAAAATCCACTTGTGCACTTTTCCAACACAACCAACAACAGATCTGCTGGGAACCAACATCCAGCAGACAGCAGGAAGGTAAAAAGTCCCAGCAGGATGACATCACCAAAAGACGATAGCAATGGGTATGGTACTTCCAGTCCATAGTAGGAGGAGGATATCAGGCTGTACACAAATGGGAAAACATTCTGCATCTAGCTACAACCAACACCAGACACGCTGGGAACCGACATCCTGTAAATGGTAGGAGGAGGGACCGCAAACCTGGAGTGCATCTCCTGTCCAAACCCTGCATCCAGTCCACAGTAGGAGAAAGGATACCGGCCAGCACACATGTGAAGACTTACTTAGCTGGACCATCTCCAACAAACACTGGACCCATTGGGAATGTATACCCGGAGGATGGTAGGGAGGAGAAACATCTCAGCCTGAGGGTCAAACTGCAATAATATATATATATATATATATATATTAATGACATGGTGGAGTACTTCAACCAAAACCTGGTGGTACCTGGAATTCTACATCAGGTCCTCATCTCTACGGTGTGTATAACCAAAACCTCTGACGTAATTGCTTAGTCACAGATAACAATAAAACGAAGACACACAAACAACACCTGGTATTAAGGATCAATCTTACAATATAATTATAAGGTATTAAGGGATCAATCTTACAATATAATTATAAGGTATTAAGGATCAATCTTACAATATAATTATAAGGTATTGAAAATTCTTTATATACCTGAAGAATTGAGTAAAGTCTCCAGCGGTAGTAAACATGTGCAGGGCTCTGGTTCACAAACAGGAACCTACAGTCAGAAAAAACAGGAATGAGAATTTGATACTAGAGGTCCAGTTTTAATATACAATACCTAACTCATATTAAAATATGTATGCCACATTTTTACTATGATATAGCAAAATTCCCAAAACATTTTTCACCATACATATTGTAAATACACATATTTAACCTATATAAAAGCCAGTGTGTGTGTCACATCAGATCATAAAAGTCAAAATGTATTTATCCAGATAGTTCAATTACTGTCTGCTCATTATAATTTTAGTGATGAGGGTACAAGGGGGCCATGAGGGTGTGTGTGTGTGTGCCATGAAACCTTGTAAGTGCAGTAAATGTTGGTATAATAAGCCTATAGTAAAGACGTAGTGTGGGATCGCCTATCCTAGAGCCAAGTGCATAAAATTTATCATGAAATTAAAAATATCGATTCAATTTTAAATTTAAATCATTTCTGGATTAAGCTATTTTTTATTATATCACAAACATTTTCAATAAAAAACAAACCTCTTTAATCGACACTAAATTAAAAATTAACTTCATGAACAATCTTAATTTTGACTGGCTCGCAAAGGAATTTACCAATGTTTGACTGCCTCAACTGCACTTTTCTGTCTCTTTGTTGGTCAAGCTTGATTTTGTAAAATTTATTTATTTCAGTTAGCTATGAAATGTGAGGTTAGGGTATACTATGGGGTGGGGATTGGGGTGTAAGTACTTGCCCCATCATTTTTGATGGGATATACACTAGTAGTTTCATAAATATATGCATGAGAAATACATATAAAAAAGGTTAATCAACTAGGTTTTATTTTACTAATGTATTGGCATAAATTAATAAATCAATCTTTACACCACATTGTTCTCATTGTTTATGCTTTGTTCCAGTAAAAAAAGGACCTCACTTCTCTCAAGGCACAATTAAGTCCAATTCTTAACATTATTGAAGTATTTCTGTCAGAATCAAAGCTATGCATCAAGTGAATGTCTTATTATACTTAACAAAGATGCTACATTCTTAATTGAGTTGCTCAGCATCGAATAAATTGCCATTAATAGCAGCTTCTACTTAATGTGAAGTACAATGAACATTTTCCATGAACTCTTTTTCTGATTTGTTAAAGCAACTATAAAAATTCCTTTGGAACAAGATGGAAAAGATATTCTATTCACAGCAATTTCATAATCAGACATATCCAGCCCTCTTGCAAAATCCAATAAATCTTTCAGTGTTCAGTTGTCTTTCAAAGCCTGACTTCTATCTCTTGGTGACTATGTATTTTGCACTATTAGCCACCTAATTTCACTATCTGGAGCACCAAGTTCACAAGTAGTTGCTAGATTTCAGCTTGGAACAAAAAAAGTAATCAAAAAAAGTATTTCACAGAATTGTGTTCACAGTGCAGTTTATATTTGAATCATTACCTATTGACAGTAAAACTAATGATTATGAAGCAGTAGTTAAGTGTTTAACTGATTCTTTTGCACTGAATACAAAATGTGTGTGTCAAAGAGAGGATGAACTATCGAAGCCTAACATACTAGACTTAGAAACCTAACTACTACTTGTGAACATAGTGATATGGATAGTGAAATAAGGTTACTAACATGAAACACATCATTACCCATAGTTAGATGTCATGCTTGGACAATAAAACTGAACACTGAAAGAATTAAGTGACTTGACAAGAAGCCTGGAGACGTCCCACGCATAAGCAGATACTAATGAAAACATATGAAGGCCTTTAGGGTAAGCAGACACAAGATCATCATAAAATAAGTAATTCATGGTGAAGCAAACACCAAAAGACTAAGTCACAGACTTATGTTGCAACTATGGAGGCCAACTTCCCAATCAAAGAGGACATAACTGCAGTAGGCATAATCATTTTGTTCAAGCTTTTCTGTCTTAGAAACTTGTTAAAATGAAGAAGAAAAATAGCATCCCCAATGAAAGCAGCAATTATTCAAAAAATGTGAATGTTTTAGAAGTTCCTGTTACACATGCACCCAATGGAGTCAGCACAGGGGATGAAATGGACCATGTAGAAAAACCTTACATAAAGCTGAGCTCAATCAATGTGAAAATTATGGTTGACAGATGGGCAATTGTAACCATCTAACATGAATACAAGTATGCTCATATGTCAAATAACTTGCTACTCAGAACAAGAAATCTAAGATTTACACATGTGGTGCAAAAAAAACCTTAGTAGTTACGACAAATACCTGAAGTCACTGTTGAGTCTAAATACAAACCTACAATTGCAAAATTTTATAGAACTTCAGGTAAAAAAAAAAGAGTATTGGCTTAGTAATCAAACAGCAAAGAACTCTGGTGTTATGAAGATCATCAAAGCTATAAATAGGCTACCATTTTTAAATGAAAGCATAATATAAAAGATACAATCAACTTTTTAACAGCATTGACAAATTGAACGGTATTCAAGTCAATTTGCATATCAAAGAAAAGGTGTTGGATATACAAGACTGTTTAGTGTAAGTGTGTTTAAGCAGTACTGTCAAAAAGAGGATGAACTATCGATGCCAAACATACTAGACTTAATAACCTAACAACTACTTGTGAATATAGTGATATGGATAGCACAATAAGGTTACTAACATGAAACACATCATTACCCAAAGTAAGACATTCTCTGCAGTTAGTGATCTAATATATGATGATTAAGTTTTCATAACAATAGTGTTAAAGTAATTATTCATTATGTAACTCGGTAAGAGACATACGCTGTGTGTGTACTTCAATTGTTGTAAGTTGATGTCACACTACTCGAACCTTCTGTATTTTCTCATTGCCTTAAGTGAGTATTGTTACATCATAGCATCTCAGATTGTAGAAAGTTCTAGGCCTCAGTTGGACAATGTTTGTGTGTGTGTATATATAGGCAACCAATTGAGTGCAAGTTAAGTAGTGGAAATGTGAAGTTAGACTGCATGATTGTTAGTTTAGCCATAATGGGCAATATCTTAAAGTGAGTTTCACTATTTAACAGAGATAATGAGAATAATTCATTTTGTCGATTGGATTCTAAAGTAATTGAATCAGCTTGTGTGGACTTTTGAGGAAAAAAAGAGAATCATTTAAAGTTTTAGATACAACTGTGATATCCTATCCTGTAAAAAATTGTTGTATATATGTTTGACTTGTCATAAAACAAGTGGATCGTATGATGTCCGTTTACTGTTTGAATTTTTATTACCAACAAGTCACAGACACCTACTGTAAAGAATCTGGCCCTATAAAACCTGACAAAAGGTAACAATTAATGCACAGTAGAAACCAAAAAGAACAATTCCTTTTCACTTAGTACATATGGTAAAGGAGGAACTATATGAATTCTTAAAATATTACTTTATGGAAAAGGGCCCTACTTCATGGGCTTCCCTAATTTTTCTAGTGCCAAAACAGAATGATTTGAATCAAGAAAGAATATAAATTCCAAAAAAAGCTATAACTCAAGAATGCTTCATTATTCTGACAACAGTGTTAATTAACTGAATGGAGCCCTACTCTTCATAACATTAGTCTTAAACAAAGAATACCATCAACTTGAACTAAGTGAAGATTCTGATGCATCACAATGTTTCTCAATACATGTGGGCTTATTTAAACATCTGAGTTTTGGAATTGCATCTGCTTTGTAGGTTTTCCAGGAGACAATCAGACAAATGCTCAGAGCAACCTCAAATATTTTAAACATCAGTGATGGTAAATAATGTATAGACAAGTTTAAAAGATCTATGATCACGTACTGCAATTAGTCTTTGAATGACTGAAAGAGAACAACCTCACCTATACATACAAGAACTCTGAATGTACTAAGTGTACCTACATGAAATTTGGCAAGCACTCAGTACACATTACAAGTCTATTGTAATGAAAGCTTGTATTTTGTTACAATTTCTTTAAAGTAGTTATTGATAACATTAAAATTATGTTTTTCTCTAATTATATGCAAGTAAATTGTTATATTGTAAAAATTATTCTAAGATACTCATTTTCAGCCTTCCCACTAGGAAAAAACAACACTTCCAGTCATAGTGACTGATTACTTATTATTTTACCAGTCAACACACAGAACAAAATGGTCATTGGCTGACACCAGTTTACTCTTAACTCATAATAAACAAATATACAAATATTTATCGAGAAACAATATACGTGGCATAAAATCCTTTAACATAGCAGTGCTAGTTTTAATTAACCATCTGTTCACAGGATTGGTCAAATTTAAATTATACATAATAATGTTTACTATAATTTTGAATTGACTATGCATGTGTTCATAAAACTTGATAAGCTTTTAGTAAACATTACAAGCCTTTGTAAACAAAAAATAATATTTTTCTACTAAAGTTTTGCCTGTGAATTTCTAAAGCCTTTACTGAGTCAGTCTAAACAAAAGGTGATTTTCATGCTGACAAAACTTTACTTCTTTTCATAACCTCCAAAAAATCCTAATTCTTAATTCTTATTTTCTCACCCCTAACACTAACTGTAGAGAAATAATCAATTTACAGTAAAAATAAAAGTGAAAAATATGAAATAAAATAAAAACTTTTTTTTTCACCCTACACACAGATTGTAGTGTTGACCAGAAAGTTCCAAACTGCTTAACACTTTCAATTGTTAACTTTATTCATACGATTTCTTTTCATTTTATTGTTATTTTATGTACCACTTGAACAGTAATCCTCTGTCAAAAGCAATAAACATAGCAGTAGCCTATTAGATGTTTCTTGTTGAGTTAATGTTAAACAGCACATAATCTAACAGCATATTTCTGTCTGGCACTCGAGATAGTGTAATTTTAAGTATTTTATTTTAGTGAAGTTTTCTTAGGTCGAGAAGTTTACAATTTTTACATTTTAGTTATTTTTTTAAAAATAGGTAACAATAAATAAAATATATAAATTAAAAAATAAGGATTTCTAGTACTCACAGCTACTCAAACTGTTTCCACTCAAGAAAAAATATCTGCTGTTTTCCTCTAAACCTCACAGATTTGAGTATTGAAAAAAAATTTATATTTCCTTCAAATATGCATTTTAGAGCATACAAAATATATCAGGCACGAAAACAGAATGTTCCAAAACTAATATACTTTATCCGGCTTTAGGTTAGCTATAAATAGGGTAAAAACATTCTTTTACTGTTCAGAGCACAAATCTGATCAACACAAACCAAGCAATTCTTGTCAACTAAGGGGTAATAATGAAAAAATCTGAACACAGAATTGTAAAATTTATGTAGAGGTAATTATTCCAAGATCTACACAGCAGCAACTGATAAACAAAGGTCACTTACGACTTACCAAGACCAAATAATTTCTGCAACAAAAAACCTGATTCTACAAAACAGACCATAAAATTGAACAACAATTGCATCTACTACAGGCTACAAATATAAACAAACAGACCAGAACCACTTTGGGTGTCCAAGTTATCTAGAAAGATGTAAACCAATATTGCTGCAAATTTCTATGAACCTCTGTCTTCAAATGGGTATCTTCTTGTTGTAATGGAGGAATTGCTTGTAATCTTATCCAAACTCAGTGATACTGTTTTGGCTGTACAACTGTCTTTTCCTAGGTCTTTCAGTCATTGGAAACTAAATTGCTGCTGCATAATCATCATGAACAGAGCCATACACATCTTCTGCACCTGTTCTAGCCTCTATGAACACCAAACCAGCACAAGGAAAAAACTCTTTTGAATGCACAAGAATGAATATCTTGAGGTTTATCTTCTGCTGCTCTTCATCACTTGATGACTTTACCTGTGTTTTCCTCTTGTGTTGCTGATGTTTCAAATGTGTTTTTGAAGAGATTGTGACACACACCAACAATGACTGTGAAGTGATGCTTTCCCAATCAGTGTCACTTTCTTTGTCACTGAATAGTTTTTGGGAACAAGGTTATTTCATCAAAATATTATCCTGGGGTCTCAATTTCAAACCCATCAAGCTTTCTTCAACATTACCTGACTACAGGAAACAAAGGATCACAATGGTTTTAATCTCCACCAACTTCCCATCTCTAATTACAGAGTAATCATGATTTTCCATCCTGTTGTCTTCTCTCAATAATACACCAGACTGAGTTTCATCTTGAAGTATAGGACTACTAACACTTCATCAAAATACAACTGTTGTATCAGAATGATTCCTCATCTCTGCCTTCACGTTTTCAATTTGCACTTGTTGAATTTCTGGTCCTTATCGTGTTCCAAAAAGAGCCCTGCTTTGTGAGCAATGCCATCCAAGATATATATCAAGTAAGTTTCAAGGAGCCTACCTCAGTAATCTCTATTGACAGAACTTGCCAATACCATGGAAGAAATGGCTTTATAGAGTTAAGAAACCAGATCTTGTATTGTGCAACATGTGTGACCACAACCATGTTTTGTGTAGGATTTTGGATGGGTATATGAGTTTTACTTCCTCATAGTTTGGAAACTAGCACAATTTCAGCCAGTACTTGAAACTTTGTTTGAGCAACAACTCATCAAAAATGTCTCCTTGACTTGTAGACTGGGTGTTAAGCCCAGAAAGATCACACCTTACTGGCTAAATACTAATGGTACAACAAAATGCTCAATGAAGATATGTGGCTAAAGTAGTTAAAACAGTTGTTATTGAAGGACAACCACACAACCAAAAATGTTTCGATTTCTCATGAAATTATACAGCAACACAATTACAGAAAAATCTCTGGCTGCATTCATGCTAAACTTCTGTTGCATGAAAAATAACCAAAAATGAAAAACTATGCTGATTCACATACCGAGCTGTCAAATCAAATATAAAATCAAGAGCAGTGCATTTGGAAATGAACATAACTAAGAAAACTCTTTGTTATGATTATAATTTCTTTCAAAAACAATGTTTGTTTATTCGAAGTTAAGCGCAAAGCTACACAAGGGCTACCGGCGCGAGCTGTCCTAATTTAGCAGTGCAAGACTAGAGGTAAGGCAGCTAGTCATCACCACCCCCGTCATCTCTTGGGCTATTCTTTTACCAACGAATAGTGGGATTGACCATTACATTACAATGCTCCAGGGTTGAAAGGGAAAGCATGTTGAGGTGGAACGAGGATTCAAACCCGCAACCCTCAGATTGCCAGGCCCCAGAAACAAGATTGAACCTCATTTCTCTATAAATGGAGACATAACACAACTAGTCAATTTTTCTAGCAAGAGTATTAAACTTACCAAGGCTTCTACTCACTAGTCATTTTTTTACTGGGAGGATTGAAAAAAAACATGAATACCAAATCAGGATGAAAAACTGTAGGATTATTTTTAAGTGGAATTTTTTTTTTCAGATGCATTTTAGATAAATACACACACGTGGCATTATTCAGCATAAAAATGCACTGCTTGGAAAAATGGACCACTTTTCATAAATCTATAGCTAGTGTTGTTTGCTATTCACATAAATGAAAGAACCTATACTTGTATCTAAATTAACATTTAAACATACATGAATAAATATATCTCCCTGTGAAAATGTAAATTTCTTTTTACATCAAGCAACCATAAAAGAGGTAACCCTACACCAATCTGTAAAACATACCTGAACATAGGGTTGTGGATTTCTCTGTTCATAATCATTGCTTCAAACATGGGTCCTTCACGGACGACAAATTCAATCATACGATGGATCAGACACAGCAGGTTCCTGCAAACAAGGATTCATTATGCTACCATTTCTCCCCGTCATCTGGTGTCTCCATATGACAGGGTGGTAACAACACTACGACTCTTCTTTATACCATGCTATACAACACTAACACCAACTTTAACTTAACTGATACTGACCAAATCAAATAACATAGTAATAATCAAGCAACTTTAGAACAACCCAGAAACTTCCTATTTCTTTGTCAGGATTAATAGCAGATTTCGCATTTGAAAGTAAAAGAAAAAAGCAAAACTTTCAAAGTTGTACTTTAACTTAGAAAACAAGTCCTCAAACTTACAGGAACAAGAAATATTTAGTTTTAAATTACATTAAAAAATTATAAAAATAAAACTAGCAATAAATAATGTATTTCATTACTAAAGAGAAGAGTTTTCATAATGTTAGCACAAACAATCAACATAGTTGAAGCTGACTGAAAACTAAGAAAATGTACAACAAATAAAATTCAATTCTTAAAAATTTTACTTATTTCAATATTGGTCATTTTTATAACAACTACAGTAGCTTGTCCACACAATGAATAAAAAGCAGTATCTTACAGACTCACTTATCTATATCTAGTCTTAGCAAAAACATTCATACCTAACTAACTACATGGAAGAAACAATTAAAAGTTTTACTTTTTTTCATAATAACTTGTTATTCATATAAGGAAGGCTTACCAAATCTAACTATTGAAAACTACATAGCCCTAGTAGAAAAAAAATTGTTTGACAAAAATTGCAGCTCCAGTTTTAACATTTTTTTCCCCTTGTAAATCCAGAAATCTGCATTGCTCAGACTTGAATCTGGTCCATGTTTTATAACCTTCTTTAAAGACATTTCCAATTTAGCTCAGCAAACAGATGACATTTTCGTAAATTGTAGTGAGTGTGATAAATGTTATAATGGGCTTTCAAATGGTTTTTATAAAGAAAAGTACAAATACATTTATGCTTTCAATATAAAAAAATTGCTTGCCATTTCATTATTTTTGGTAAAAAAATCCATAAAATAATATAAAGCAATCATATACTAAATTCTCGACAAATCACATATCTTAAATTAAAAAAAAAAAAGACTGAAAATATAATGTTTCAGCTTTGTAATATTACTAAGTTAATATTTTAAAATCGTTTCACTGATGTCCACTTAAAAAAAAACTCTCTGCCTAACAAAAATTGATACAAGATCCATAATTTTGCACTAATAAAACACTGAATGAGGCAACAGTGTTTCTCCAGCTTAAAGTTCTATCATTTGAGCTGAAAAACATAATTAAATATCTTAACTTTTCCATAACTAAGCTTTAAAGCACATGCACACACTATAATTGTTAATTTTAAAAGTATTACAATACTACTTAACATTTAACAACTTGAAACTATTTAAATTGTCAAGAATGCTTCTTATCTAACACAATAAACAAATCTAATATTTTCTATCTTTTAATATCTAACAACATATATGAATCATGACAAGATGTTTAAAACTTGTAGCAATACTGTGAAAACAACAACATAAAGACATGGCAATACTTTACACATTTCAATGTTTCATCTCTAAAATTGACACCAAGTTATGATACATATTAAAACTTATTGCTTAATCAAGAATTAATCAACTTAAATGAAAACATGAATAGTTTAGACATATATAGTCTCATATTTAATTCTAAACCTGTTTCTTTACAAAGCTTCTGTAGCCTTCTACGTAGTTCTACCATGGAAGTAACAATCTGATTTATATATCATTTTGTAAACTTGAGATATATTTTAGCGAATTGTAAAGGGTACTCATTAATTAGAAGAGTTCTCACTGTAAATTGCTACACCTTGGTGAACAAGACTGTATACATTGGTAAACAGTATTACCTTCATGCAAACATGTTCAATTTGTGCTGTTAGAAGATTCAAGTTTAACTTATATACTACACCACTAGAAGTGGATACACACACAAGAAGGGCATGTGAACATGAGAGTAAAATTAAGACTGGTTAAAATATTTTATTAACTATACTACATTACTAAAACAATTGATATAAATGATGTCATTAATTGTTCTACCATATACCTGTCACACTTCAGTCTGTGTTTAATTTCTCCTTTGTTACTGTAAGGTTGTCAGAATATTCTTTGAACAGGTATACTTATCTGAGAACCTTAACATTTTCATACCAAGCATGGAGCAGTTTTTGGTAATTCTTTTAAAGGTAATTAAGCACTTTCAAAATTACAAACTAGAAAGAAGACTAATAAAACTCAAAAATACTTATTAATGTAAATACAGAGTTAAATCTTTATGGTATATTTGAAACTACATTTCAACTTTAATGTTTAAATAAATGCTATCTTTGTATAGGTGCAAAAAATTCTAAAACACAGATTTTCATAAATAATCCTATGGTCTGAACTGACAGCATTAGATGAGGGATAGGTGCATCAAAAACAATTAATTAATCTAAAATTTTAAAACTAAATTAGGAACTACAAATTCATTACTGTAATCCTCTATCTCATTTACTTCTGAGGTCATTTTAAAGTAATGTGGTTTTATACCATCAACTTGTACAAAAAAAATGGTTTCAGATGTCATATAAACTGTTACAAACTGAATCTAATTCTAAATAAAAGCATAATGTACAATTTTACAAACTTTTTCAACAGAGTTTTTCAATAACTAGAAAGTTTAACAAGAGCTTTGTAACATTCAATCAAGCTTATCAAACCCATTAAATTACCCAAAGTCAAAATTTGTGTAAACTACTTCAAATTTGTATGAGAAATTTGGAATTAATAATTTTGTGAAGAAATACAAAGTAATTTCACTTGTAATCAACCTGACAGAAATGAGGTTGACTGCAAATGGCATACTTGTAGCCAATATTTTTTTTTTTACAAAACTTGAAACCCTTTATGATCAGACATAATATATCTACTTTATAGAGGGAAAAAGATACTGAATTCTGATTTATTTAAAAAGAAAAAAACATATTAAAGAATCACAAAGCCTGTTATATAAAGAAGGTATACTAATGAATGTTTGACAATTTTGGTTGATTATTCATATTTTTTTCACATTATTGTGCTCTTCTCCGCCAATGTCATCTTGTAGTGGAACTTTAAACAACCTCTTCAATGGCATGTCTCCATTCTTCCGAGATGCACTATCCTTCGTGTGGTCACTTCACGTCCTCCTCTAGTCTTCATTCAGGTAAGATTATGGGATGAATAGGTAGCCAAAACAGTTTCTCATGCAAACTTAATCATACAAGTGGATAAGATCCCAGATAACCATGTACTTTGCACACTTCCATACACATGAACAAGAATTGTATTCGAAAATACATACATCTAAAACATGAAAATTAAATCAAATAATAATTTATGCTGCAAAAAAAAACAACAACAACTGTATTTCAGTTAAAGTATTCTTGGTGTTTTGTGTGAACAGGCAAAATGCAAGTGCAACTATGAATGCAATCAATTTAGTCACTTTTCTTCTATTTCCAAAAACAAAATTACCATCTTGAATATGTGTTGTTGAGTTTGTTAAAAGTACAAAATTTGCAGGTGGGTTGTACTATTACTATGAGGCTTTGTCATTAAGTATACAATATCAGAACTCTTATTAAATTACATACACACAAAGGTTTTGGGTTTAGTTATTATTAAACCCAAAGCTACATAATGGACTTTCAGTGCTCTGCTCACCATGGAATAAAAACTCAATTTTTTAGCATCATAAACCTGCAGACTTACCACTGATCTACTGATGGGAGGAGGAGGCTACATACAATGGATGAATGCAAAAGATCAGTATCCTGTATTACAGATGGTTGTACATGATTTATGATTAAAAATTTGCATATTCATATCCAATCACCATGGCCTGTGTCTAAACAAGCCAAAACCTCTGTTCCTCTTATAACAATTCAGTTGAAATGTGCTGATTGCAACTTCAGATGTTGACTAAAATATACTTTTTTTGGGGGGGGGGGGCTACATTACAGGATTTTCTGATATTAGCTTCTCCTCTCACCCAATTAAATAAATTTAGTAAAAACAAGTAAAGGCAAAATTTTAAAACAGAGAGAAAAAAAACAGAACTACCAGTCACACACAATGAAGAAAGTTAAACAACCTGTCACTGGAAACAAACCAGAATACAGCAGTTCATTGTGGCTAAAGTAGGAACTTCTCTTGCAATTATAAACAAGACACTTCATATGAGCTTATGGTGACATAATGGACTCTGGCCTACAAAAGTGACAAAACAGCCATGTTCACAAGCTTCTTCCTAAGTACAAAACCAAATAGAAGACCAACTGTTCAAAGCTATATAAGCAGTTTTTGACATGTGACAAATGGAATCATACTGTTAACTGGATGAACAAGATTCTCAACTTTTGGGTTGATACAATTCCTGGAAAATTTGTTAATGGGCCTAAAAAATTCCTTGAATTTTATTAACTAAACACATGTAAAGTGTCTGTTTTAGAACCAGTATTTGAATAACAGTTTTTAACTATGTATCAAAAAACGTTGATCGTTTGAGTATTTTAGCACTTCATGCATAACTATCAGTTCTTTTTTCTCAGTCTGTTGTTAAGTTAATTAACACAAAAAGGGCTATAGCATGTAGTTAAATATTTCATTTGTACTTTTAAACAATTAAATTATTTCAACAATCCAGCATGTCTTCCAAAGATTTTTACATTTTATCCTTTTTTTGCAAGACCATCATAACTTATGTATTGAAAATACTAAGAACTGTAAGTGTTAGCCAATTTAATAATTAATAATAAAAAGAGAGACAGAGAGTTGATTCTCCTCTGACAGTGTTTATAAAATCAATAAAACACATAAAATTAGTTTAAAAAAAAAAGACTAAGAAGTTAACTTTTAATGAAAAAACAAATAATATCAGTTTTCTCAAAGTACAAAAAAAAAGACCAAGTATCTGTCAGAATGATGGAATGTTAGCTAGTCATCAA